CACCATGTACTTGTGCCGGGACGCCAACCGACACCATGTACTTGTGCCGGGACGCCAACCGACACCATGTACTTGTGCCGGGACGCCAACCGACACCATGTACTTGTCTTGGGACGCCAACCGTCACCATGTACTTGTGTTGGGACGCCAATCGTCACCATGTACTTGTGTTGGGACGCCAACCGTCACCATGTACTTGTGCCGGGACGCCAACCGTCACCATGTACTTGTGCCGGGACACCAACCGTCACCATGTACTTGTGCCGGGACGCCAACCGTCACCATGTACTTGTGTTGGGACACCAACCGTCACCATGTACTTGTGTTGGGACACCAACCGTCACCATGTACTTGTGTTGGGACGCCAACCGTCACCATGTACTTGTGTTGGGACGCCAACCGTCAATTGCGTCATTCTCCTGTCAGTGTCATTCACCTCTCAGTATCGGGACCCCTCGGTGATGGCGGACGCCGTACCCGGATACAATATGGCGGCGCCGATGTCTTACCTTGGCTTTCAGCATGCCAAATCCAACGGTCTCTTTGGCATACATGCACAGCAGCAGGTTGGACACTCTTGTAATCGCAACACGGCCTTCCTGTAGGGATCAACGACAGACCAGAGATCAGTTCCCTAACTGCCACACAGTGCATGAGTGGGCGTGTCCCAGTTCCATAGGGAGTAACGTTAGTCGGTATATCCCAGTGCTATAGGGAGTAATGCGAGTGGGCGTATCCCGGTGCCATAGGGAGTAACGTGAGTGGGTGTATCCCAGTGCCATAGGGAGTAATGCGAGTGGGCGTATCCCGTGCCATAGGGAGTAATGCGAGTGGGCGTATCCCAGTGCCATAGGGAGTAATGCGAGTGGGCGTATCCCGTGCCATAGGGAGTAATGCGAGTGGGCGTATCCCGTGCCATAGGGAGTAATGCGAGTGGGCGTATCCCGGTGTCATAGGGAGTAATGCGAGTGGGCGTATCCCGGTGTCATAGGGAGTAATGCGAGTGGGCGTATCCCGGTGTCTCACCATGTACTTGTGCCGGGACGCCAACCGACACCATGTACTTGTGCCGGGACGCCAACCGACACCATGTACTTGTGCCGGGACGCCAACCGACACCATGTACTTGTCTTGGGACGCCAACCGTCACCATGTACTTGTGTTGGGACGCCAATCGTCACCATGTACTTGTGTTGGGACGCCAACCGTCACCATGTACTTGTGCCGGGACGCCAACCGTCACCATGTACTTGTGCCGGGACACCAACCGTCACCATGTACTTGTGCCGGGACGCCAACCGTCACCATGTACTTGTGTTGGGACACCAACCGTCACCATGTACTTGTGTTGGGACACCAACCGTCACCATGTACTTGTGTTGGGACGCCAACCGTCACCATGTACTTGTGTTGGGACGCCAACCGTCAATTGCGTCATTCTCCTGTCAGTGTCATTCACCTCTCAGTATCGGGACCCCTCGGTGATGGCGGACGCCGTACCCGGATACAATATGGCGGCGCCGATGTCTTACCTTGGCTTTCAGCATGCCAAATCCAACGGTCTCTTTGGCATACATGCACAGCAGCAGGTTGGACACTCTTGTAATCGCAACACGGCCTTCCTGTAGGGATCAACGACAGACCAGAGATCAGTTCCCTAACTGCCACACAGTGCATGAGTGGGCGTGTCCCAGTTCCATAGGGAGTAACGTTAGTCGGTATATCCCAGTGCTATAGGGAGTAATGCGAGTGGGCGTATCCCGGTGCCATAGGGAGTAACGTGAGTGGGTGTATCCCAGTGCCATAGGGAGTAATGCGAGTGGGCGTATCCCGTGCCATAGGGAGTAATGCGAGTGGGCGTATCCCAGTGCCATAGGGAGTAATGCGAGTGGGCGTATCCCGTGCCATAGGGAGTAATGCGAGTGGGCGTATCCCGTGCCATAGGGAGTAATGCGAGTGGGCGTATCCCGGTGTCATAGGGAGTAATGCGAGTGGGCGTATCCCGGTGTCATAGGGAGTAATGCGAGTGGGCGTATCCCGGTGTCATAGGGAGTAATGCGAGTGGGCGTATCCCGGTGTCATAGGGAGTAATGCGAGTGGGCGTATCCCAGCACCATAGGGAGTAATGCAAGTGGGCCGAGATAACATTTAACTGCCTCCGGGCCGGCCGTAGTAAGAAAGCGGCCATCCAGGAGATCTCTAGATCTTCAGACGTCCGCTCAGACACGCCCCCTTGTGCGCGCCGCCGCGCGCGCGCGGGGAGTGGCCGCAATTTAAAAACGGGCAGCGATGCCCGTTAATATACATGCGATCCGCCAGCTGTAAAGCCGGCGGATCGCTTGTATTTAGCGACGATCGCTGCGCCTCCCTCTGCTGTCCCCCCTGCCATTGTCCCGCTGATCCCGGGCTCCGCTGTGCCCGGTGCGAGCCCGAGATCAGAATGTCGCCTGTGTCACGGGATCAGAGGGAGCTCGGTACACGAGCTCCCTCCGGTCCCCTCTCCTCTGAAAGAATGCGGAAGTGTTGTATAATACATCACTTCCGCATTCTTGTGTCACTCTCCAGCTTCAGAAGCTGGAAAGAAGCTGATGGAGCAGATCTCTGCTTCATCAGCTTCTTTTGGGGGGTCCTAGGTGACATTAGGGGTCTTGGAGACCCCTAATGTCTCCATAAAGAGGACCTGTCACATATTTTGCTATCACATAGGGGGGGTTTATTAGCCCCCGTATGTGATAGCGATAAAGTTTAGTGAAATTACACATAAAAAAAGAATTAAAAAAAAAAAAAAATACATACACGCGTGCATACATGCGTCGGGGGTGCATACGTGCAAAAAAGACGATTGCGCCCATTACGCCGCACATGTTACATATCGCCGCGAACGTCGCAGTGAGAGCAATAATTGTAGGGCCATCAATCACTGATAACACTAAACTGATGAGCGGTAAAAACGTTTAAAGCGTCGCCTATGGCTAATTTTGGTTGCGGTCGTTTTCTGCGATGTCGCGGGTGCGCGCAATTTTAAAGCTTGACATGTTTGGTGTCTATTTAACCGACGTGACCCCGTCTTTTATATTTGACCAAAAAACTGGGTAATAATCATTGTTTCCTAACATAATGTTAAAAAAGACTTTTTTTTTCAAAATTTTCAGTCATTTTTTCTAATTATAATAAAAAATAAAACCCCCAGTGGTGATTAAATACCACCAAAAGAAAGCTCTATCTGTCCCCAAAAAATGGTGTAAAATTCATTTCAGTGCAGCGTTGCATGACGGAATAAACGTCAGTCAAAGTATCGCAGCGCTGAATACTGAAAAATGGCCTGGCCTGGAAGGGGGTGTAACACCTGGTCTTGAAGTGGTTAAGTGCCTCGCACTCCAAAGAATGTTTTCTGGCAATCCCGGGTAACCATGAGCAGACTTTCCTTCACTTCCTGTCTGGTGATCCCGTTGTCACTGTGACAGGAAGTGAGGGTAAATTGTTCTATCGGAGTCCCGTATAGTAAACACCAGGCAGAGGTTCGGCTCCTTCCCATTGCCGGCACCCGCAGACCACTCACCATGCAGTCCATAAGGATGAATTTCAGGTTGTCCTCGTTGAAGGCCTGGTGTCCGTTCTTGTCATAGGCGGCCCAAATGTTACTAGCAATGGCCGCCGTGACTCTGGCGTCCGTGTCACCGTAACCAGAATATGCCAGCAGAGAGCCTTCATTGTTCAGCAACCTGGGGGAGACAGACGCATGGAGGGGGTCACAACCCGCAGAGGAGGAGGATTGGTCGGGTGCTCACTGATGATGTGTCATGCAACTCCCACCCACTCTGGTGTCATAC